GTTCAAGTTTGGAAATCAGGAGACGCTGTCGTCAACCTACTCGATTGAGATGCAGCGCCGCGTCGGCGGAAGGATGCTACTCCTTCGGCTGTGCGCGGTGCCAGGCTGGACTCCCGTGCTGGTCAGCAAGCCGATGCCCGAAGCTCTTCGGCGCAATGCTGGACATGCAGCGGGGCGAGATCAGGTTTGCCAGGGTCAACGTCGCGGCGCCTCTGAAGGTCGCCGCCAGTGGGCGCTGCCAGCTGAATCTCTGCGAGATGAAGAACGGCGAGAGTAAGAAGATCCAGACGGCAGAGGTTGATTCGATGGCAATGTCGGAGGCGACCGAGCTGGAGGAGCACGTGGAGACTGCGACGGCCGGTTTTCGGTAGGGCCGGGTCGGGGCCCTGAGGCCAGCGACGACGAGGAGGAGTCGGCGGCGCTCTGGGCCGCGGGGGCGACGGACACCATGAGCAGGAAGGCCAAGAAGGGGGTGGTGAAGGGGGCAATGGCAGCGCAGGCTCGTCTAGGCATGCAACTGAAATGTCTTGAACTGTTTCCGGAGCCGCGGCTAACAGTGGAGTTCGAGAGCCTAGGCTTCCAGAACCTCGGCGCCTTCGACCTGAAGAACGGCTGGGGCGCCCGACGAGCTGAAGATCGGCATCGCATCCTGCGTCTGATTGACGCGGAGGAGCCCGAGCTCATCGGCGTGAGTCCTCCTGCAGCGCCCTGTCAATCTTGCAGAACCTCACGCCGGAGTCCAGCAGGAATGACCCAGAGGAGCATCGGAAGATGGTCAAGGAGGCAACCGGGCACTTGCGATTCTGCGCGGTGGTGGCGAAGATGCAGATCAGGAAGGGTAAGTTTTTCACCATCGAAGCTCCACCAAGTGCGAAGTCATGGGGCTGCGCCCCCGCGAGGAATCTGTGCAGCTAGAAAGAGGTCCGCAGGGTATCAGTCAGTGGGTGTCGAGTCGGACTTCGCGATCCCGTCTCGGACATGATGATGTCAAAGGAGTGGTGTTTTGCCGCCAACGCGGACTCGCTGACCACGAACATCAGTGGTGCTGGGGCAGCATACAAGGCATCAAGAGAAGTGAATTTTCCGAGAGGTGCCCGAGGAATTGTGCAAGAATATCGCAGAGGCCATACTGTGCCAGCTGGAGGTGGACGACATCAGGTATCATACGGAGGTGTTCTCGGCGACTGAGGACCCCGAGATCGCGAAGAGAAGGAAGCTGTGATTGGAATCTTCACTGCGCAGGCTTCACGCGAACCTGGGGCACCCGAGCAACGGGGGCATGGCGCGCATCCTGAAGCGCGCGAAGGCCAGCGAAATGGCGATGGCGATGGCTCGGAAGTTTTCGTGCTCAGTCTGCGAGGGGCGGAGGTTTCCCATGCCCTCCCGGCCTGTGGAGGTTCCGTCCAAGGTGGCGCCATTGAGACTGGTGGAGATGGACGTTGCGGCGCTTCCCGGCTGGAAGGAGGGCATGAAGGTCAAGGCGCTCAACGTTGTGCGCCCGCGCAGCGGTCTTCAGCAGATGACTCCCTTCTTCGAGCAGGAGACGGGCAGGGTGCTGACGGAGATCTTCGAGACCAGCTGGAGCATGCCCTACGGGCCGCCCAAGTTCCTGAAGTGCGACGCTGGGGCGACCAACCTCGGGCAGGACATCGTCGACTCTGTCGAGAAGCAGGGCGTCGAGGTGACGGGCGCGGCAGGCGAGGCTCGCAAACAAGTGGGGCGCCGATCGCCACGGCGCCTTGTTCGAAGATATCCCCAACAAATTACTGGACCAGAACGTTCCGAAGGACAGGGGCGGCTGGACAGAGTGCGTCAGAGCAGTAGTGATGGCCATGAACTCTCTACTTCGTGCTCACGGACACTCCCCATGCCAGATTGCACTGGGGCGAAGCCCAGAAGCACCGTCCGACCTGATGCAGGAGACGCCGAACGTAGCGGTCAGCAGCGCAGCCCTGCACGACGAGCCGTTCGCCGAGATGGAGAAGCGTCGCCAATGTGCTCGTCAGGCCGTGCTTGAGTATATGGGCAATCCAGCTGCTCGCGTTGCTCTGGATAGCCGACCCAGGACTGCCCGCGTCTTCCAACCAGGTGATCGTGTTGCTGTGTGGCGGCGTAGACGAGGCATCCCGGGTAAAAAGGCTCACGCCCGATGGCGAGGCTCAGCTGTCATTCTCGGACCTGTGAAGGGTAACTACTGGGTGGCCATGCCGGGCGTTGTGATCAAAGCCGCCCCTGAGCAGCTACGCCTGGCTACACCTGAGGAGAAGCTGGCTGCTGAGGTTTTTCAACCTGAACTTCGTGCCCTGGCGAAGGAGTTCAGGGGCGGCCAGGGTCCGCAGCGAGGCTTCGTGGGCATCACGGCAGACGAACGACCTCCTAGTGGTGAAGGTGGAGAACAGCAGGCGCCAGGTACCGAGCCAGCCCAGCAGCAGGAGACAGAGGGGCCGGCGTCTGAAGATGGCACTGAAGATGGACAGGAGGCGCAGGACGAGGGTGAGCAGGTCACTGGTCAGGAGGAAGTTCAGGAGGAGCAGACCCAGCGGACTGCGAGACGCCGTCTCGTCGGCAAGAGGACGGTGACGGAGGAGATGGTTGGGCCGAACAAGATGCATAAGCAGGAGGATCCGGTCCAGGAGCAGGTCGTCAAGGAGCTGCCTCAGAAGGTCCCAAGAGTCGAAGAGGAGAAGGACTCTCTTGTGGTGATCGATGCGGAAGAAGACGAGGAGGTCCGAGTGCCGCACGTGAACCCAGAGACGAAGGAAGAGCTTGAGGACGCTCTACTGGCTGGAGGTCGGCGAGAAAGAAATCGGATGGACCCGAAGTGGCAGAGCCCGGAGTGAGGGGAATCTCCTGGCAGGCGTGACGAAGGAGATGACGATTCTGACTGAAGTGAAGCAGGCACTCGAACCGTTGGACAGGGCGAAGTCAGACGAGGTGCGACGGACCACGCCGGGGCGAACCGCGGGGAGCAGGATGATCCCGACCAGCAAGATCGATGACACAGGGTCGGAGATCGCCCATGCGCGCCTGTGCAGTCAAGGCTACTTGGGCCCCGACCTGATGACGCTGGTGCGAGAGAACAAGACGTTCTCTCCCACGTTATTTTAGAGCGGCAAGGTGGTGGCATGCCAGTTGCTGGCACCCCGCGGCTTCCAGGTCCAGATCGGCGATGTGGAGGGTGCGTTCCTGGGGGCCGATCCGATTCAGCGTGATGGTGATGACCTTTATCTGCGGCAGCCTCGAGGTGGTCTGCCTGGGATGCGCCCCGACCAGCTGCTGGGGGTGATCAGGCCGATCTACGGATTCAACGATAGATCGCGATTCTTGACTGGCGGCCGACTGGCGAAAGTGAGGGCTGGAGGCAGTCGAAGCTGGACCCGTGCGTGTTCTTTCTTCTCGAGGGCCGCAGGCTGTGCGGTCTCATCGCCACGCACGTGGACGATATCCTGACTGGAGGAAAAGGTAGGAAGTATGATGCCTTTCTCAAGTACCTCAGGTCTAAGCTTCCGTTTCCGAAGTGGAAGATCAATGGGGGCAAGTTCTGTGGGTCAAACATCAACCAGGATCCCAGGGCAAAGGGAATCACCGTGTCTCAGGAGGAGTTCGCCGAAAGCATGAAACCTGCAGGAGTCAGACCTCGAGCCCCCCTTGGGACCCTGGCGACCGACAGGGAAATCGCGGGCTTCAGGGCCATGCTTGGAAGCGGGAACTGGCTGGCCCAGACCTGATCTAGCAGCGCAGGTATCCATGAGTCAACAATGCATGCCGAGACCGACCGTCGGTGAAGTGAGACACGGTAACACCATCGATCGTCGAGCTAAGCAGTTTTCAAATCTCCCGTGGAAGATCAAGTCTATTCCCATTGACAGACTGAGAGTCATCATGCACGCTGACGCGTCCAACCAAAACGCGTCGGAGTCGGGTACACAGGCTGGGTATGTCATTGCCGCTACGGACGAGAGGATGATCCTAAACGAGTAGAGCCCCTGGAGCCCCTTGGTCCGGAAGAGTCACCGTCTGCGTCGCGTGACGTCGTCTACCCTAGCCGCAGAAACTCAAGCTCAGATGGGCGGTCTTGGACATCTGGACTGGGTATCCTGTCTACTACTAAAGGGGAGTAACGGGGAATTCTGTCTTCGTCGTCGGGCGGACTTTCTTCCGCTGCTGACCCCCATTGCCGTCGCCGACTGCAAGTCGCTGTATGATCATATCGTGGGGTGCGGGAGTGAGGGGTCATTTGCTGATAAACGTTTTGCTGTCGATCTAGTGATCACGGAAGAGAGTGTGCGTCGTCTTGGGCTGTGCTATCGGTGGGTGCCATCGGCCCTGCAGTCGGCTGACATCTTAACCAAGGATAAGGCCGAACCTGCCGACATGATGAGAGCACTGATGACGAGTGGAGAATATCGAGTATCAGACGAGCCAGCGGTGATGGCAGCAGCAGCTCGGGAACGGATCCGTCGTCAGTTGCATTCGGCTCGGTCCAGGCAGGATGCTGGCAGCGCGAGCGCAAGTAGCGATTCCAAGGGCCGAAGTCGCCTTGGTGAAGTTCGAGAGTCAGCTGTCGGAGGACGAGGTGAGGAGCCTCTTCGAGAGCATTCAAGTGGAACCAGTCCGCCACTCAGGGACGACGTGCAAGGTGGTGTACAATCTCCGCACGCTTGGCGAATGCGAGGACCGCAACAACAGGGCGAATATCACGCTGACGTGGAGCAAGGGAACCGGAAACATTGCAATTCGGACAGCTGCGGTGGTCGAGGACGCCGCGCTCACGCTCACGGGCACGCTGGATGCCGCGCACGCAGGCATCCTGAAGCACAAAGAGCCGCAGGTGCTGGACGGCATGAACGACGTCATCTCGAGTTCGAGGGTGCCGCCGGAGCACGGGCAGGAGGGCCCAGGCGCGTCCGACTCGGAGACGTGGAGTTATCTCTTCGAAGCTGCCGGACAGCCAGGAGTTCAAGACCACAGTCGAGAACCTGTGCGAGCGGGGGAACCAGGAGCTCCAGGTTTTCGAGGACCAGCGGCTGAAGTTCATCAAGATGATGATCAAGGAGTTCCGGGCCCCGTCGGACTTCCTCCTCGAGACCGCGCCCGAGGGGGAGGAGGGCATGGGCGCGCAGAGCGAGGTCGGCGAGGCCGGGGCGCATGCCGGCCCGCAGCGAGCCGGCCGCCGCTAGCCACTTGAGCCGAGGAGCGATGAGGTGTCTGAGGTCTTCTGAGGTCCGTCAGGGCCACCAGCCTCAATGACGCGCGATTTCTTGTTTTTGATCAGTGATGATCGTAGTGGTTGAGTAGTCGCTTGCGGCCCTAGCGGGCCCCCTCTGGATGGCCTCTGAAGCAATGGGGGCCCAGCTGGGCCTGTATGTGATCTGCGCGTGTTGAATCTGTGCTGCAGCATTTTGGCGCGCCTCGGGTGAGGAAAGGTGGGGCGGGGGCCCCGCTCTCGAAGCCATCTGCAAGACCAGTCGTAGTCGGGGTCGTCGAGAGGTGGGCAATCGGCAGGTGGCGGTGCACCTCCGTGGTCGGAGTTGCACCTTAGAGTTCGAGCCAATGCTCGGTGTGGCCCGCCCGCCGGTGGGGAAGGGCAGAGCAGCATGCCGCTGGTCATAGATGGCCATGGCGGCACTGTGCAAAACAGCGGCAAGGCGGGGCCGCGTCGTCGCCTCCACGACGTCTGGGGGCAGATGGTGCAGACGGAGGTTGATAGACCTGCCCCTGACACGTCGATTCGCGAGTTTGCTGCTTTCGGTCCGCGAGAGGGCGTCGCGGCCGTCATGTTTGCGGGTCCAGGTCAGACGGTTTCGGTCCCAGGGCGTTTTCATTAAAGGGAGGTTTACTACATGGAGGTCTGTCCACCGCCGAACTCCGGCCCATGGTCCGTCTGCGGGTGGTCTTGCCTGGACTGGTCGGCTCTGCAGGCCCGTCCTGCAGTGGAGACCCCTGCCAGGAAACGCCCTGCTTGCCTCTAGGGTGCCCTGGGTCTGTTTGGAATGCCGATGGTTTTGCGATGGAGAAAGCGTGACGAAACATCCATCAACGTACTGGGGTCTGAGGGTTGGGCATCTTGTGGAAGGTTTACTAGAGGGAGGTTTGTCCACCGCCAGTGCAGGGGCCGCTGCGTCCGTGGCCAGGGCGCCCACCTGCCGGCTTGAGGTGTGCGGCGCTGGCAGAGACGAGGGGGCTGGCCGTGACGCCCTCTCCCCGCCGAGGTGCTCGGCGACCTCTTCCGCCCATAGCATGTCGGACTTGGCCTGATTTCCCTGGCGCGGCGTCGTTGACCGATCCACCCCCGCTTGGAATCGGTATCCCCATCCCCTTCGAGACCCACACCAAACTACCCCCCAGTTGGGGATACCCTTCGAAACCCGAAGGGAACGGTCTATATCCCCATCTAGGGCTACCTTTTCTGCCTGGAGCACGCCGGATCTGGCCTGACTCGGCGGCGAGCGACGGAGGGAAATGAGAAGGAGAAGGCCTTCTCAGAGGGTTCGGAAATCCCCCGGCCTTTTGAGAAGTTTTCTAAGTCTTCCCCGACGACGGAGAAAACTTCTCAGGAGGCGCGAGGGGTTCTGAAAAGCTCCGCTGCCTTCTGAGAAGGCCTTCTCCTTCTCATTCCCCCCCCTCGCTCGCCGCCGGCTGATGTCCCTGGCGCGGCGTCGTTGACACATCCACGGGGACTTGGAAGCCGCGACGGTTTGGTGATCGTTTTCTTTTTCGTTGTTTTGCCGATCGGCGCGGGCCCTCGCATCCCCAAATCCCCCCCCCACGGAGCAGATGTTGGCTGTTTTGGGCGCCTGCTTCGAGCACGTAGAGTCTCCCCCATAGGACGCACTGTTGAATGCAGTCGCATTAAGCAGACGCCCGGAGCCAGACCCCGCCCCTCCCCCCCCTTCCCCCCCCCCCTTACGCCCAATGTCGAGACGCCGAATAAGAAAACGTTCACTTGGCTGTCGACGAAGATGCCCGTTCAGCGGTGGCCTCCAAGTCGAGCAGTGCCAGCGTCTCCGCGCGCCGCGCGCCCTCTGGGCGAGGCCGTGGACTCGGGCCGAGTCGTTGGGCCTCGGGGAGGGAGGGAGGTGAATTAGGGAGGGAGCAGGAGGTAAGGAGGAGGGGAGGGGGACGGAGGGAGGGAATCTGGAAAGAGAGGGAGAGGGAGAGGGAGAGAGCGAGCGAGAGAGAGAGAGAGGAGGGAGCACGCGGCGCTCAGGGGGAAGTCCAGGAGGAGCGCGAGGGGCCGCTGTCGGTGCCGGAGCTCCGCAAGTACCTCTCCTACTGCAGGAACGTGGGGGCGCGCCTTCTTCACCCTGATACGCATCCAAACTTCACACGCACGCGCACGTGTTTTGTACCGTCGCCCCCCTTTCTTTTGTCGTAGTGGTTCTCGCGTCGGAGGAGTGGCAAGACTCACGCGCACACTGTTCTCCTCCGACGCTCCTATGGAGCCCAGTCGGCGGGTGTAGAGCAACGGATCACGTGAGCCATGGATTGGCCACCTCATGTGGAGACGTGCGCAAGACTGGAAACCTCAAGCGAGGCCGCGCCGAAGCGAGATGCACACACACACACACACATATACATATATATATATATATATATATATATATATATATATATATATATCCCCGTGCACGAGGCCGGAACGCCCGGGACCGCGACCTCGACAGGGCATGGGGGTGCCGGGCGTCGTTTTCCCAGTGTTTTTTTTACGCGGTTTCGGCGTCCTGGAGCCAACAGGGCCCCAAGAGGCTGCAGGGAGGCCCCAGGAGGCCGCAGCAATTGCTCCAGACGCTTTTCAAGACGACTCCCATGACGCCATGAAGGCCCCCGAAGGCCCCGAAGACGCCCCAAAAGGCACACCGAGAGAGCCCAATAAGGAAACATCGCCGATTCCTATGGGAAAACTGATACTTTTGGCGTGTTTGCCTTTTGGGCGTCCACTGCGTCCAAGACGGCCCAAGAGGCACCCAAGCGGGTCGAGGATGCCCCCAAGAGGGCCCCAAGACGGCCCACGAGGGGGCCAAGACGGCCCACGAGGCGCCCAAACCGCCCAAGAACGCCCCAAGGCGGCGCCCAAGACGGGGACGAGGAACCGGAAATCCGGGCCTTTTGGCCCAAGAGACCCTAGGAGACCCCAAGACGCTCCAGAAGGGGCCCAGAAGCCCCAAGAGGCCCCCATGAGACCCGAACAAACAGCAAAAGCGGCCCCAAAGACGCCCCAAAGATGCACCCCGAGAGTGGCCCAATAAGCAGAAATCGTTGTTTTTCCGATGGGGAAACTTATATTTTTGGCGTGTTTGCCTTTTGGGCGTCCACTGCATCCAAGACGGCCCAAGAGGCACCCAAGGCGGTCGAGGATGCCCCCAAGACGGCCCACGAGGGGGCCAAGGCGGCCCACGAGGCGCCCAAACCGCCCAAGAACGCCCCAAGGCGGCGCCCAAGACGGGGACGAGGAACCGGAAATCCGGGCGTTTTGGCCCAAGAGACCCTAGGAGACCCCAAGACGCTCCAGAAGGGGCCCAGAAGCCCCAAGAGGCCCCCATGAGACCCGAACAAACAGCAAAAGAGGCCCCAAAGACGCCCCAAAGATGCACCCCGAGAGTGGCCCAATAAGCAGAAATCGTTGTTTTTTCCGATGGGGAAACTTATATTTTTGGCGTGTTTGCCTTTTGGGCGTTGACTGCATCCAAGACGGCCCAAGAGGCACCCAAGGCGGTCGAGGATGCCCCCAAGAGGGCCCCAAGACGGCCCACGAGGGGGCCAAGACGGCCCACGAGGCGCCTAAACCGCCTAAGAACGCCGCCCAGGAGGCCAAGAGGCCTTTCCGGGAAGCCTCCACAGCGCCCCAGGAGGGCCCAAGACGCTTCCCAGGAGCACCCAGAATGCGAACAGGTGGTCCAAGACGTTCCCAAGCAGCCCAAGTTAGCCTTCGGACGGCTCTCGAGGCTCCCAGGTGGCCTCCAAGAGACCCCGAGAGAGGTCCGAGAGGCGTCCCGGGACGGCCCGAAGAGGCCCAAATCGTCGATTTCCACATGTTTTTGCAAGTTTTTGGCTTCTCGCGTTTTCGAGCTTCCAATGGTCCAAGAGCGCCGAAGAGGCTCCCAAGACCGCACCAAGACCACCCATGAGACCCTGAGGACGGCCCCGAGACGAGCCAAGAAGGCTCCAAGACTGTCGAAGAGGCGCCCAGGACAGCCCCAGACTACCCCAGAACAGGCCCAAAATGGGCCCAAGAGCGGGAGCAGGAGGCTTCCAGCGACCTCCGAGAGGCCTCTGGGACACCCCAGAGGCCCCCAACACACCCCCGATCCCTGAGAGGCCCCAAAAAGACCCCGACGAGGCTCCAAACAGCCCAAGAGAGCTGCGAGAGCCGTCCCGAGAGAGCCCAAAGATGGTAAAATCGTTGATTTCCCATGTCTTTTTCATGTTTGTTTCGCCTTCTGACGTTTTCCCGCTTCCAACCCTCGAAGATTGATTATGTTTGTGGGAATTACTTTGGCGACGTACCCAACCCTTGCGCAATGCGGGGCGCAAATACATCAGGGTTGCTACAACGGGTGTGATGGCGTAACATGGACGCATGTGATTTTGCGGGCAGCAATCGGAAGGCTCGCAGGCCCCCGATCAAGATATAAGGGCGTCGTAGTGGTTACTAACGCAGCCCCCACCCCCAGGGACGGCGAGGTCCCGCTCAGGTCCCCGCGGTGCCTCAGTCCGCAGGACCCACCAGCAGCCCTCGAAAGTGGCGACAGAGTCGCGTGCAGATCGCAGCCCCGCAGGGACGGCGAGGTCTCGCTCAGGTCCCCGCGGTGCCTCAGCCCGCAGGACCCACCAGCAGCCCTCGAAAGTGGCGACAGTGTCGCAGATCGCAGCCCCCAAGGGACTGCGAGGTCTCGCTCAGATCTGCGCGGTGCCTCAATGCGCAGGACCCACCAGCAGCCCTCGAAAGTGGCGACAGTTTCGCAGATCGCAGCCTCCCAGGGACGGCGAGGTCTCGCTCAGATCTGCGCGGTGCCTCAATGCGCAGGACCCACCAGCAGCCCTCGAAAGTGGCGACAGTTTCGCAGATCGCAGCCTCCCAGGGACGGCGAGGTCTCGCTCAGATCTGCGCGGTGCCTCACTCTGCAGGACACCCAAGCAGCCCTCGAAAGAGGCGACAGTTTCGCAGATCTCAGCCCCCCAGGGACTGCGAGGTCTCGCTCAGATCTGCGCGGTGCCTCACTCCGCAGGACCCACCATCAGCCCTCGAACGTGGCGACAGTTTCGCAGATCGCAGCCCCCCAGGGACGGCGAGGTCTCGCTCAGATCTGCGCGGTGCCTCACTCCGCAGGACCCACCAGCAGCCCTCGAAAGAGGCGACAGTTTCGCAGATCGCAGCCCCCCAGGGACGGCGAGGTCTCGCTCAGATCTGCGCGGTGCTTCACTCCGCAGGACCCACCATCAGCCCTCGAAAGTGGCGACGGTGTCGCAGATCGCAGCCCTCCAGGGACGGCGAGGTCTCGCTCAGGTCCCCGCGGTGCCTCAATCCGCAGGACCCACCAGGAGCATTCGAAAGTGGCGACAGTGTCGCAGATCGCAGCCTCCCAGGGACGGCGAGGTCTCGCTCAGATCTGAGCGGTGCCTCACTCCGCAGGACCCACCAGCAGCCCTCGAAAGTGGCGACAGTTTCGCAGATCGCAGCCCCCCAGGGACGGCGAGATCTCGCTCAGATCTGCGCGGTGCTTCACTCCGCAGGACCCACCAGCAGTCCTCGAAAGAGGCGACAGTTTCGCAGATCGCAGCCCTCCAGGGACGGCGAGGTCTCGCTCAGATCTGCGCGGTGCCTCACTCCGCAGGACCCACCAGCAGCCCACCAGCAGCCCTCGAACGTGGCGACAGTTTCGCAGATCGCAGCCCCCCAGGGACGGCGAGGTCTCGCTCAGATCTGCGCGGTGCCTCACTCCGCAGGACCCACCAGCAGCCCTCGAAAGAGGCGACAGTTTCGCAGATCGCAGCCCCGCAGGGACGGCGAGGTCTCGCTCAGATCTGCGCAGTGCTTCACTCCGCGGGACCTACCAGCAGCCCTCGAAAGCGGCGACAGTTTCGCAGAGCGCAGCCCCCATCGTCGGCGAAGAGAGGGCAGGAGGAGGCGGGAGGCGGGATGAGGAGGAGGAGGAGGAGGAGGAGGACGAGGGACGCGACCACAGTGCTCTATTCAAAACGAATACCCAACCAAGGAGGGTTGGGAAGACGGAGTTCCCAGAATTCCAGTTTTTTTTTCAAAGTGGGACTCCGACTCGGAGATCCCCCACATCCCTTGACATCTGGCCAGTACTGCGTCTCCCGTCGTCCGGGGGGCCCCCAAGACGCCCAAGGACAGCCCAAGACGACCCCAAGGAGCCCCCAGAACGCAAAGAATGGCCCAACACGCTCCCGCGCAGCTTGAGACACCCTTCCGACGGCTCTCCAGGCCTCCAGGAGGCCTCCAGAACCCCCAGGGGGTCCGGAAGCCACACCCCTGAGGGGCCCGGCTAACAAAACCTGCGAGGCACAAACAAAAAACAGCGCCGAACAGCGCCAAGGAACTGGAAACAATTGGCATCCCACATTTTTTATATTGTTTTTCAAGTTTGGCCCCCGGTCTACTCTTGCACAACAGACCACAATTCAGACCCCCTCACCTCCCCCCAAAAACCCAGGAAGTCTTTGAGGGCCTCAAATCGTTCAACACTTCAAGGAAATTAATTAATGATTTCTGCGTTTCCGTACTTCCCCTTCTATACGATTCCGAGGCTTGTGCAGGGCCTCCAAGGAAGTCCCTGGACGTAGGAAGCGACCAAGATGTTATTACATGAGTTGGCTGATCAAGTCTAGCTAGGACTGGGGCCTCGGGACCGCGACCTTGAGCGCGCATGGGGGTACCGGGGCCTCTGGGGCGCCCCTGGGACGGCTCCCGAGGGCGCCGGAGGCCGCCAAACAGATCAAGAGGGTGCACGAGCCTCGAAATGTAGCTTGAAGATGCCGACGATGGCTCCCAGAGGGCTCCCGGGAGCCCCCGAGACAGCCCAATAAGGCCCCAAGAGCCCTGCCAACAGGGCCCCAAGATGCAAAAATGGCCCCGTCCCCGCTGGAAAACTTACATTTTCAGGGATTCACTTCTTGCCCTTCCAGGGGAACGAAGACGGCCCGAGAGGCCGCCAGGATCGCCCCAAGACAGCCCAAGAGGGTTCCAAGACAGCCCAGAAGGGCCCCTGGCTAGCCCAAGAGGTCCCCAAGACGGCCCAAGAGGGACCTAGGACGGC